AATGTTCCATTCAATGTTTTGTAAATATTTGATCGACAAATATTTTTACCCAAATATGATGAACGTATTTTGAAAACGTTATATACCAAATATTTTAAAACAGTGTTCCATTTAATGTTTTGATAATGTTTAATTTACAAATATTTTTACCCAAATACGATGAACGTATTTTGAAAACGGTTTACACCAAATATTTTAAAATAGTATTCCATTCAATTTTTTGAAAATATGTGATTTCCAAATATTTCTACCCAAATATGATGAACGTATTTTGAAAACGTTATACACCAAATATTTTAAAATAGTATTCCATTCAATCTTTTGAAAATATGTGATTTACAAATATTCTTTCCCCAAATACGATGAACGTATTTTGAAAATATTATACACTAAATATTTTAAAATATTATTCCATTCGATGTTTTTAAAAGTGCTTAAAATTGTTGGTAGTGATATCGCACGCGTGACCTAGCAGAAATTTAAAAAAAAAAACGTACCTAATACCTATATGAACATATTATATACCTATGTTCTACTTTTACCCAATCGATAAATCATAAACATGTACGATACATTATTGAGACTGTCCAATTCATACGATAAGATAAAATGAATAACCTATATATATATAATAAAATATAATAACCTATATAGAGATACTGTATAGTGTATATTTATACCTAAAGGCAGGGGCGGACCCGGGGGGGGGGGTGGGAGGTCAGCTGACCCACAGTTTTTTCTTCGGTAAAATGTGGCCTCTCAAAATGACAAACTACATAAATATGTACAATATTACAATAATCAAAATAGAAATAATATTAAATAATAATATGGGTGTTATAAGTCATTTATAAAATATATACAGAACATTTCTATGAAAATATAATTATAAATCATAAATGTATAAATATATTATGAATATTATGATGTATAGAAAGATATGAATACTGGGTATTGAAGTATAAATAGCGCATACGAAATCGTACGGCCAGCGCGTATCAACAAATATTATAATATTGAAAAACTTGCATACCGTAGTAGATACCGTACGCACGGCTGCTTTTACAAAACATACACCGATTACCGATAGTCGATATTTTTGTTTATATAAATATATCTATCAAGTCAGTAAAATCGCTTTTCTATTTATAGATTTTCTTATCGTATTATACTATTATAAGTGGAATCTACGATTATTTTATATTATCATCCAATATCCATAATAAATATAATATGAGCATTCATGGTCATTGGTCGTTATTGATGTATTATAAATATTATGTATAAATGTATAGTATCATATGACGTTATATAAAACTATTTTACTTTTCATTGTATTTTACTTTTTGTCAACGAGCGTCTGTTCACTCTGTCCACTATCGTCTTACTGTGTTGTGTTGTGTACTTGTGTTTTTGTCAAATATTATTGATGGAACTGGAAGCTCCTAATAAAAAAAATTGACTATCTGGTGGAGCAAGGCGATTAATCAAAGAAAAATAAAAGGCAGTTAAAGGCAATCAAAGTATTCTGTCATTCCTAAAATCAAACATCAGGCAAGAACCATCTTTGGAATATAATCACAGTGAAGAGGAAGATAATCCACCCACTTTACCAACTCCTGGTGAGTATTTTAATTTCAAAAATAGAATTACTTATTTATTGATACAAATTTAAAATAAAAGTACATAAAAATATTAGATGCCTACAGCCTACTTACTAAAAAAAAATTAAAAAAAAATATAAATATATATTTTTAGATTTTGTTTCTATCTATGTGATTTTCTGTTTATAAATAATAAATATCAATCTAATAATTTTAAATACTTAGCCTAAAGTGTAATTAAATGTTTGTCCTGAAAATTACATAAAAAAATCTAAGTTGGTACACTATATTATTTCACAATATTGGTGTTTAAAATATAAATATTACTGTTCCGGCGAGGAAAATAAATAACAGTGGACTGTATAATTTTGTAATTGGTTTTATTTGCTAAGTAAATAAATTATTATAATTTATAGGTTGCTTGAAGTCTCTGTGCAAGTCTGCCTGGGTAGGTCTTGCTTCAGAGGCTCCGCTGAACACACTGCCCGTTTCGTGCTCCGCACTGGCATTTATACCCTGGTATCGCTCGCAGGAGCCGCCCATGAAATGTTGGTGGTTGGTGATTGGGCGGGGTTGAATGGCGGCGATAACGCTGGTTGGCCGCTGCTGCTCTCGAAGCCACGCCCACAGCGTTCTGTCGTCGTGTGCTTATTTATTAATTCTTTGACAAATACGCGGGTCATCAATAAGATTCGTTTGAGCAATTATGTAACTGTACATTATTGCAACCGGTGTCCCTTGTGACCGAACCGATCTGACCCGCGCCGTACATAATATATAGATCCCCGGCCGATACAGTCGTACGTCTCCCGACGTCAAATGTGCTAGATGCAACATTTTGTTCGTGACGAACGACTCACTATAGTGTCGACCGACTGTATTCCGGATCTCATCATATTATGCACACAACTAGTTGGCTGACTGCCCAGTGTGATGTCAGTTTTACATACATATAATACCATTAAGAAATATAATAAGAAATATTATAGAATAGATACTTCGCGTGGCGCGAACATATTTCCCCCCGGCAAACTAAGGTTCATATTGGATAGGTAGCATTGCCAGTTTCGTAATTGGCAGCTTCATAGTGCTGCCCCTTGTTTTGATAGTAGCCACTCGAACCAGTCCATCAGCTCCCTGTTGTAGCTGAATGATCCTACCTAAGTGCCAGTCCAGAGGTGATTGGTGGCCCTCCTTTAGTATAACCAAATCTCCTATTTTGAAATTAGCCATGGCGCCAGCGCAGCCAAAATTACTGAAGCATTCTTTGAACCAGATCCTATCTTCGTCTTGGACAATTTACCGTCGGTTCATTGAGCAGGGTCAGCTCTGGGAAAGTCGTTAACGGACGGCAATTAGAAAGTGCCCTGGTGTTAATACTTCCAGGCAGTCAGGATCATCGGAAACTGCCATCACGGGCCTTGAATTCAGCACCGCTTCAATTTGCACTAGTACTGTGTGTAGCTCCTCGAAATAAGGTATACTGTCTCCGATGCATCCTCGCAGATGGTATTTTGTTGATTGAACTCCGGCTTCCCATAGGCCTCCAAAATGGGGGGGCATGAGGAGGAATAAATCGCCAGTCTATCCCTTCTTGGTGTGAGTATTCTAATATCCCCTTACTTAGAGAATTATTGTTTAGGAACCCATCCAATATTCTGTTGGCTCCGATAAAATTCGTCCCATTGTTGGAATGGATTTAAATCGGCCTTCCTCTGCGAGATATGAATCTGCGCAGTGCCGCAAGGAATGTCACGCTACTGAAGTCTGATACCAGTTCTAGGTGAATGGCACGAGTGCTAAAGCAAACGAAAGGTGCCTTGGTGAGGACCCTGCTCCTTATTTCTCCATGCCTTATGGATATTGGACCAGCGCAATCGAAGCCTGTGACATAAAATGCTGGAGATGGGTTCACCCTGGCGGCTGGCAAAGGTCCCATCAATTGAGCCGCTGCCCTGATTTGCCATCTGAAGCACTCCATACACCTGTGCGTGTGAAGACGCACTGCATTTCGTCCACCGAATATCCAATATCGCCGCTGGAGTGAAGCTAATAGGTGTTGAGGTCCAGCGTGCATCAATCGTCCATGCTCGTAATCGACTAGCAGCCTTGTGAGTTGATCATCGGCATTGAGTATAATGGGGTGGCGTTCATCAAAACTCGCATGCGTATGTTGTAACCGGCCACCAACTCGCAGAATCCCAGCTGCATCAATGAATGGGGTCAGAGACCTCAGCTTACTGCTGGTTCGGATATGTTGACCCCGAGCTAACAGGTGCATTTCTTCCAGAAAATACCACTTCTGAGCCTGTTTTAGAAGTACATTCAGCGTGCCTTGAAGCTCGCCTGCAGTGATGGGTCCATACATGGATTCGTTTTTCGAGCGGCAATTGTACTTAAATCGCAAGCAACATGCGATTATTCGCTGTAGCCTTTCTAATTGGTTATACAACATTGCCATGTTGAGGTCCGTAGATACCTTCAAGGAGATGGTGATTTGAGATCTGCGTTCAGGGATCTCTGATTGCAACATGGCAACTTCAGCGTTAGGCCATTGCTGTTCGTCTGCCTGGAGCCAGAGAGGGCCATGCCACCATGCGTTGCAATTTTTTTGTTTTTTGTGGATTTAAGCCTCGGCTGAAATGGTCGGCCGGGTTGTCATTGGTGCCTACATGGTGCGAAGAATAACTGATGGTGCACTCCTGAATCTCTGCTACTCTGTTTGCTACAAACTGCTTCCACTGGTTGCTACCTTGGTGATTTTTTAATCCATGCCAGGGCTATGGTAGAGTCACTCCGGATCACACGTTTTGAAAATGTAAGCGGTACAGCTGCGGTGATCTTGTTTGCGAGACACGACGCCAGTAGAGCAGCGCAGAGTTCAAGGCGTGGTATGGTGGTAACCTTTAGTGTTGCTACACGGGATCGTGAGCATAACAGTTTACAGCTGATGACATTATCTCTGCCCTTGCTTTTAATGTAGACACAGGCTCCATATGCGGCTTCAGATGCATCGCAGAATATGTGCAATTGAAGATCAGTGGGCTCACTCACTTGGATTACTCGACGGGGTATTCGTATTTCCTTTACATATATCAAATGGTTGTAATACCCTTCCCATTTTTTATGGTGGTCATCTGGTAGCTTGGTGATGCAACCAATTTTTTAGCGCCACTGTTCACGCACAAGAATTTTGCTTGAACCACCCACTGGCCCTATGAGCCCTAGAGGGTCGAATAATCAGGCCATTTCAGAAACCATTCTACGCTTTGTCCATGTGTTAGTGTCATTGAACAGTCTCGTAATGTAATGTATTTCATCGTCACGGGGTTGCCAATATGTGCCCAATGTTTTTGTCGAGCTGTTGTTTTGTTCGTGAGTGAACTTATGAATTTCTCAGAGATCCTCCAGAGGGAGGTTTTTCAGAAGGGAAGGATGGTTTGCGCAGCACTTGCGGAGTTTAAACTTGCCGCCATCACATAATTGGATCAATTGATCTCGCAGTTCTAAAGCTTCTGTCAATGTATCAGTGCCGGTCAGCACGTCATCCACATAAAAATCCTTGCTGACGGCTGTGGCTGCTAATGGGAACTTGAAACCATCATCATGAGTGGTTCGAGTGGCCAAGTAAGGGGCTGAAGAAGTGCCGTAAGTAACCGTTTGCAACGTAAAAACCTTTAAAGGTTGTTCCGGACTCTCCCTCCAAAATATCCTTTGAAGGTGAGTCTGTGATTCCATTATTCTTATTTGTCGATACAATTTTTCCATGTCCCCTGGGAAAACATACCGGTGAATCCTGAACCGGGCAGTGATTGCAAAGAGATCGTCCTATACACCACTCGGAGCTTCGTTGTTTCGCTGTCAGCCTTGATGACGCTATGGTGCGGCAGGAATACCTTCTGCTGATGCGCCTGGCCTGATGTAGGGTCTTCCTTCATATGACCAAGGTTAATGCACTAGCGCATGAAGTCGACATATTCCTTGTGTAGTTTGGGGTTGCACTGCTGATTCAGGAATGACAGATATTCCTGTATTAAAGGAAGTGAGGCGCTGGAGCGGCTACTTTCCCATAAACGGTGGGATTCGACGTCTAATTTTTCTACCATTAGGTGGATGATTATGGCGTCCCAGCGGTCTACCGGAAGTTTGAGGGCCGTCAACGCTCGCAGGTGACTATTTATATTGTTCTGGTGACTACTCAAAATGGCTGATGAAACCTTCGTTATTGATGGCATGCTGCACAGTGCGTGGATGTGCCCTCCAACCATTTTACGATGGTTGTCATATCGCTCACGCAGCTGCTCCCAGGCGGGTAAATAGTTCGCAGCTGTTGTCTCCAACGATTCGATGACTTGTGCCGCTTCATTTCGCAACGAGGGTTTGAGATAGTGCAATTTCTGAATGTCCGAGAGGTCCTTGTTCCGTCAAAAACCGGCAATGATATTGGCGGTAGTCTGATGGCTGATTCAGTGTTGGGCAGTCTTATATACTCTGCTGCGCTTTGGCTTGCTCTCCTTAGATTTGTTTGAGCTGCCTCAGGAAGAACCATAGGCGGTGATATTGCTGCGTAGTAGGCTGTTTCTACAGCTGAGCGTTCTGCCAGCTGCTCTTCACGGGAATCCAATAACTCTATCTGAGTTTGACCAGCGAGGAAGTCTCTGTAAGAAGCTTCAAGTCTCGTAGTTCACATGACACATGCTTAGTTCCATTCTTGTTGATGCATCTGTGAAGTTGTTGCTGTCAAAGAATTTTTGAAAAGCAATGATTTGCCTTTTCATAACTCCCCGACGACCGATGAGATCATTAGTTCGGCAGCCATTTTAATCCGGTCCGAAGATGACCAATGTTCCGGCGAGGAAAATAAATAACAGTGGACTGATAATTTTGTAATTGGTTTTATTTGCTAAGTAAATAAATAATTATAATTTATAGGTTGCTTGAAGTCTCTGTGCAAGTCTGCCTGGGTAGGTCTTGCTTCAGAGGCTCCGCTGAACACACTGCCCGTTTCGTGCTCCGCACTGGCATTTATACCCTGGTATCGCTCGCAGGAGCCGCCCATGAAATGTTGGTGGTTGGTGATTGGGCGGGGTTGAATGGCGGCGATAACGCTGGTTGGCCGCTGCTGCTCTCGAAGCCACGCCCACAGCGTTCTGTCGTCGTGTGCTTATTTATTAATTCTTTGACGAATACGCGGGTCATCAATAAGATTCGTTTGAGCAATTATGTAACTGTACATTATTGCAACCGGTGTCCCTTGTGACCGAACCGATCTGACCCGCGCCGTACATAATATATAGATCCCCGGCCGATACAGTCGTACGTCTCCCGACGTCAAATGTGCTTGGTGCAACATTTTATTCGTGACGAACGACTCACGATAGTGTCGACCGACTGTATTCCGGATCTCATCATATTATGCACACAACTAGTTGGCTGACTGCCCAGTGTGATGTCAGTTTTACATACATATAATACCATTAAGAAATATAATGAGAAATATTATAGAATAGATACTTCGCGTGGCGCGAACAATTACTTTTTTTATAGACCTTGTGGCTTGTATGATAATTATATAAGGATATGAGGTACTTTAAACTTACCAACTAAATAAAAATACTAGACTAACTAATAAAAATATATTCAATTCACATCAAAATAAATAAATAATATATTCTATATTTCTATATTTTATTTATTAAATTATTAATCTTATTTAGACTATTTTCTTAATAGTTATTACTTACCTATTACGAATGTACTTATTAGATATGGGCTGATGAGCAATACTTTTATTCTAATTCCGAAGTATCAGAATCAAGATTTATTATAAAATTTATATCCAAAGAATAAATATTTATTAATAATAATTAAAATTCTCCTGTTTGATTTTTTTTTTTTTTAATATTAAATACCTGATTCATATTAAATAATAAATAAAATATAAAAGAAAGATTTATCAATTATTAAAAAGAAAAATTATCTTATAGGTAGGTAATAAGATAAACTAAGAATTTTAAAATGCAGTATAATATTATATTTATAAATGCATTATTTAAATTTATATTTACTATTTCAAAAAAATGAATTGAAATACAAAAGTTTTGTGTGTCGTTATAAAATTGTTAGTTTCACTTTTCTCTAATTATTATATAATTTTATTTAATAAAGTAAATCTTGATTAAATTTTATACAATCTATATTTTATAGATATTATAACAGAGCATGACATTCTACCTCCAGCTTCTTTCGGAAAAGAGGAATTATTAATACAAACATCTTACATGCCAGACGATTCAAAACATAAACAAGCAGATTTGATACCTTTCAAAGATAATATACCACAAATGGACTCAATTCTTCTCAAACCAACAAACAAATTGAACTTGCCCAAAATGTTTCATACTCTACATTAATTGATAAATAACATGATTATCCATCAGATCCATATTTATTTATTGATACTGTGTTAACACCTCAAATAATCAGAACTCTTGTTGAAATAGGGCCTTGTCAACCTGGTTTTAATAGTAATAATTATGTTTTTGAAGAAAATGAGTGTGGCAAAAAATTTTCTCCCAACTGGTATAACAAAAATGTTAAATCAGGAATGAGCTGTAAAAGAATTGGCTAGTATTTTCCCCAAAAGCTAACAAAATGTTTTGTTTTCCTTGCTTTTTGTTTCGATCTGTATCTCAGCATAGTTATCAATGGTCTAATCCTAATAAAGGTGTTTCTAATTTCCGCAAAGGAAATGAAAAAATTATTAAACATGAAAAATCCAAGGACCACAGAGTTGCAGAAAATGAATATTTAATTTTAAAAAGCAGAATTTCAAAAGACATTACAATCCAACAAAATTTAATGAAAGTTCAAAAGTCTCAAATAGAATTTAATCGAAGTGTGTTAAAACGATTAATTGATCTATCTTTATTCCTTTCAACAAATGGTCTTCCATTTCGAGGACACAGAGAGGACATTAATCAAGATACACAAAGTAAAGGACTTTTTATTGAAATAGTTAAACTTGTGTCAAAATATGATGCTGTTCTAGCTAAACATTTGGTCGAGTCAAACCGAAATGAGACATACTTGAGTCCGAAAATTCAAATGATATACTTAAATGTATGGCAGATGAAACATCACATACAATATTAAATGAAGTAAAACAAGCAAAATATTTTACAATTATTGTAGATTCGACAATAGATATTGGAAGAATTGATCAATTTTCTTTTAGCTTGAGGTTTGTAGATCAACAAGGAGATATCAAAGAACATTTTCTATGTTTTGAAGAACTTCATAATGCAACTGCATATGATTACTTCGTCATTATAAAAAAAGTTAATGGAAGAATATAAACTAGATATTTCTTTATGCTGTGGTCAAGCCTATGATGGTGCTAATACCATGTCTGGACGATTTCCTGGCCTGCAATCTAAAATAAAAGATGTATCACCATTAGCACTATATATTCATTGTTGTGCACATAATTTAAATTTGGTGCTTATAGATTCCATTAGATCATCTATAAATGCAGTTTCATTTTTCAGTATTCTTGAGGCATTGTATACATTTATAACTAATAGTTTACCAAGACTAAAAATATTTGAAGAAGAACAAAAGAAAATTGATGGCCTACTAAAACAACTTTCAGAGACAAGATGGGCAAGTCACAAACGTGCGGTAGACTCAGTATACATAAACTTGCCGGCAATTGTTACCTCATTAAAGCGAATCTCAGATGGAGAACTTCTCAATATAAAACTAAAAATCATTTCAGAAGCACAAGGATTACTTTTTCAAATAATGAATTTTAAATTCAGTTTTTTATTAGTTTTGTGGAAGAATATACTTGGAAAAGTTAATATATTATCAAATTATTTACAAAATTCTAAAATTGATTTAAGAACTGGACATGATATGGTTTCAACATGTTTTCTAGATATTTCATCTTTAAGAAATGAAGAAATTTTTTTAAAAATAAAATGTAATGCTACTGACTTGTGTGGACAGTTTGGAGGCAACAATAACTTTGAGCAAGGACATATAAGAATTAAGAAGAAAATACATGATGAAAATAATTTAGAAAATATTATTGAGTCTGCTGATGAAAATTTTAAATGCAATATATATTTTGTTATTTTAGATTCATTTACAAATACATTAAAACATCGTTTTGAAGATTTCTCTAACATAGTTAAAAAATTTGAAGTACTTAATCCAAAAAAAATGTCAAAAGAAAACATAGATGAAAATATTATTTCTATTCAAAATTTATCAAAATTTTATAATGTTGACGTAGATGAAGTAGATATAGAAGTGGAATACCGTTCATTTTGTTTGGTTTACCATCAATTATATGATGAAGTTGAACCATTAAAACTTAATGAAGTATTGAAGTTCATGATATCTCGAGACATGGTTTCTTCTTATCCAAATTTATATACTTTGTATAAAATATTTTATACTCTTCCAGTCAGCAGTGCAACTGCTGAAAGAAGTTTTAGCAGGCTTAAACTTCTCAAGACATACCTTCGCTCAACTATGACAGAAGACCGGCTATCAAATTTGGCAATATTAAGCATAGAAAGTAACATAGCTCAAACAATAAATTTCAATAAAGTAATAAGTACATTTGCATCAATGAAAAAACGTAGAAAATTATTGTAATATTATACTTATTTTTTATATGTAATAATAAAAACATAATTTTGTATATGAATTATTTTTGTATTAGA